ATGAGTACCAAAGATGTGTCAGGAATCTTACGTTCTGTAAAAGAAAAAAAGACAAAAAAAAAAAAGGCTGGACAGTGGCACAGAGGCAAAACATGATGCTGAGGGCCAGCAGATGGCATAGTAGTTAGGGTGCTGGACTCCCACGTGGCTGACCATGGTTCAAGTCCTGGGCCTTGATAATCTTTCCAGGCACGTGTGCATTCATGCCCTAACTCTCATCATCTCTCTCTCTCTCTTTCTCTGTATCTCTCTGGCGAGTGCATGTACCCTATGGCAAAAACCAAAAACAAACAAAAACAAAACAAAACAAAACAGAAAACCCACAAATAACAAAAAACAAAACATGATGGGCTATAAGGCAATTCCATATGGGAAGGTTCCCAGTTCAAGTCTAAAGATCTCCCTGAGGATTCAGGAACATGCATGCCCATGATCCAGGGACAGCCAAAGGCTGGGGTGATTACAGCATCAAGACCTTGCTGGGGGCGCTCTCTATCTCCCTCTCTCTCATGGAAGAAATAAATAAACTTGAAATAGATTAGGGCTGGTAGCCTAGTGGTTAAGGAAATTGGATCCCACATGGCTGACTGCGACATGACCATGCCCCATTGGCTTTCTCCTCACCCTCTACCCTCCGTCTCTCTACAGCAAGTGCATGCACCCTCTGACATTAAAAATAAAAATGAAAAGGACATTTTCTCTGTACTTGAAAGACCTTATTCTGATAGGTGGGAGGAGGTCAGCGGTATATATTGCATGTAATTCAATGTAAAAAAGGAGAGGCTATTCTTTATTCCCCTGTGGTTGGGGACCAATGAAGACGTCACAGGAAAGATAGCATTTAAGCTGTCTCTCTCTATTTTTTTTTTTTAAGTTTTTGCCATAGGGCCCTTGTGTTCACCAGAGAGAAAATGAGAAATTGCTCCCCAGGAGTGACCGATGCATCGCAATCCTTTCTCTTCCATTTTCCTCTCAGGATTTTGGACACACACATACACGTGCCCGGCATGATTTTCAAGCTGCCGGGTCCAGGACTTTCAGTCCATGATCAACCATGTGGGAATCCAGTGCCTTAAACACCACGCCACCTGCCAGCCGCTAAGTTGTCCCTTCAGTATGTAGAGATGAATGATGGGAAGAGCACTCCGTGAGGGAGGAACCACCAGAGCAAAGGCATGGAGCATCATGGAACGGACAGGGAGCATACAGAAGATGGTGCGGTACAGCGACTGCAGTGTCGGTGGAAGGGAGGCGACCAAAGTGTCAGAAGGTTGAAAGGTCAAGGGGGCCAGGTCAGAGAGAGTCTTGAATTCTCTGGAAACTAGGGCAGCCAGCAAATCTGTTTTCTTTGAAACAAAAGATAGATGAGCTGGATACAAATGTTTCTGAGTTCTGTACTTACTGGCCAATCTAACCACTCAGATTTTAACAACTTCACTGTCTGACCTTTTTGAAAATTGCCTTCTGCCTTCGATGGACATGGCTGCAGATTCATGGACGGTGTAAGGTGAAGTCAGCCCACACCGCTCTTGGGCTCGCTGCTCTGCTCAATCAGCTACCGGCAGAACATTCCACCTGGTCACTTATTAATGCAGACGAACTGTGCTTTGCAGCGGGTGGGGCGGCGGAGGAGTAGGTTTTAAGAAGTCAGCTCAGACATTTTATCACTCAAGTGGGAATGGGGGAAAAAAACCACCTTTTCCATCATGCATCTACATAGACGTTCGGCTTAGAAATAAATTACATCAAAGACCATTCAGTGAGAACTAAGGCACCCAGATCCAGGAGACTAACCCCAGCAATGTTACCTAAAAGCAGGGAGAAGGGCTGGTGCGATAATGGGAGGAGTCTTGCGTCTTTTAAAATGGACTTAAGGAGCGCCAACAGGAACTGCAGATCTTGCTAGCCTGCCACACACACACTTTAGCTTAGGTAAAAAGAGAAGAAAGCAGTAAAGGAAAATAATTTGTAGGCCTTTTATACAGAGCTGTTTTTCGTCTGATCCTCTCTAAGCTAGTTTTGAAGTCTGGTCCCCACACTGAAGCTTGCGGGCATGCACAGTGCCTGGGAATGGCGGTGGGGCTGTTCACCTGTCTGTGACTTCTCTGACCTTTACATTTGACCAAGTCGTGATTTAACCCGCTTTTATAGCCCACTTGGTATTATGGGATTACAGATGATATAGAAATGGAAGTTACATTCTCCTAGTCTAAATGGAAAAGTTACTAAGAATCTAATCAGAACAATCCAAATAGAATAACTTCCTAGGTGGAATTCTTGTGCCTTGGATAACAGAAGGGTTTAATGGATTGAAGAAGAAGACGGTTCTGAATGTTGCTGTAGGTCAGAAATTTGGGCACTTGGGGGACCAGCAGTCAGAATAATGTCAGTGTAATGGCTATGTCGCTGGACTCCCATGTGGTCGACCACAGTTTGCACCGCGGACCCGGTGGCTTAAAAAATTCATGCCGGGCATGTGTGCCCAAGATCCCAAGAGGAGAATGGAGGAAAAGGAATTGTGGCATGGCCATCCCCCCGGGGGGTGATTTCTCGCTTTCTGTCTCTCTGTCTCTCTGTCTGTCTGGCGAGCGCACACGCCCTATAGCAAAAACCTCTCCAAAAAAGAAGAAAGAAAGAAAGAAAGAAAGAAAGAAAGAAAGAAAGAAAGAAAGAAAGAAAGAAGAAAGAAATTTGGGCACTTGGTTCTGTATTCGTTTTTCATATTGGTCACTCACCTTCAATTCTGTATTTACCCTCCCCCTCCTCCCAATTAAAAAATGGATCCTCTTTCTTTTTTTTTTGGAGAGGTTTTGCTATAGGGCGTGTGCTCTTGCCAGAAAGGCAGAGAGAGACAGAAAGCGAGAAATCACCCCCCAGGGGGGATGGCCACACCGCAATCCCTTCTCCTCCATTCTCCTCTCGGGATCTTGGGCACGCACGCACAAGCGCCTGGTGTAAGTTTAAGCCACCAGGTCTGGAACTCGAACCACGGTCAACTACATAGAAGTCCAACCACATAGCCATTATGCCAACTGTTGGGCCCATTTTTTCTTTCTTTCTTTCAATTTTTTTTTAATGGATCCTCTTTCTAAAAAGAGTTCATAAACCCCTTGGGTATGCATGCACACTCGCCCGGCGTGAATTTTAAGCCACCAGGTCCGGGATGCAAATCGCGGTCGACTACCATTATGCTAACTGCTGGTCCCAGACTTCTTTCTGTTTTGATCTCAGCACTAGGTCTGCTATTTATTGAACAGTAATATTAGTATATTTTTCATGTATTCTTCACATTTGGAAATAAGTGTGAAATTAATAAAATGTGTCAATGATAATACTTTTAAAAATAATTATTTACTTTTATGATTATCTTAAATTTTCTACAGAGTATATGTACTCACCAGAGACAGAGAGAGAGAGAGGGAGAGAGAAAGTGAGAAAGCAAGCCGCCAGGTCTGGGACTCAAACTGTCATCGGCTATGTGGGAGTCTAGTGCTTTAACCACCACACCACCTACTGGCCCAGTGTATAATATTCTAACCACAGTGACAGAACTTCTCTTGGTTTATTGCTTTTCTTTTTTAATTGTCACAGGGCATGTGCGATTACCAGGGAGAGGAGAAACAGAGCGGGAGACCCATAGGGTGTGGTCATGCCGCATCCCTTCTCCATTTCTCTGACCTGCTGGGATTCAGGGCAAGCACACACATGGACCCAGTGTGTTTTCCAAGCCCTCGAGGCCAGGACTGGAACTGCGACCCAGCTCCCTTAATCAGTAGGCTGCAGAGCTGGCCTGGGTTGCTTTTAAATTACAGTGAGGTTGTTGATCACTTCAGTCCTAAACTTCATTCCTAGTGGAAGCCACACCTGGTTGTAACTTTTTTCTTCAAGAGCACAGTCTTCTGAAACCATGTCAAGCACCTGTCTTTCAGTGCAGTGGAGGAGGGCCAGGCAGTCAACCCCGAGGGCACTCGGTCCAGCTGCGGTGGGCACTTGCTCGGGGGGAAAAAGTCGCCTTTTTCAGAAGGGCGTGGGAATCGCTCATGGCTGGGCAACTGGAGGCTTCATTTCTCTTTTGAAGAAGGCCCCATAGGAAGCACTGGCTTTAAGCAAAACCTTTATGAAAGGATTTCTTCTCTGAATGTTCCAAACAGGCCTCTTTGTCAGCACCCCAAGAGAGCTGACAACCAGTCAGGGAATCAAATCCCCCTTATCATTTCCAGACTGTTTTACCTTGTTCAGCACACCCCACCGGTGGGAAGGCTTCAAATGGTTCTCCCAAGCTTTGCTCGAACCACCAGTCTGCTGTGTCTGAAATGTTCCAGCCCTCTCCTGGCCTGGTGTATTTAACTCATACAGCATGGGGAAGCCCCCCTTGGATTCCAAAAGAAAATTAAACTCCTTGGAATCCCAAGCTAATAAACATTCACAGAGCGGCCCCAGGTGGATTGGTTATCATGATATTTCGGTCTCACCTAACCAATAAGAGGGCCGGTTGGCAGGTTCCCAGGATGAATACTCTCCTATGAGCATTGGATTAGAGAAAGCCAAAAGATTTGGGGCCATCGATGCGCTCAACTTACACCCCACCTGGGTTCTGAGGTAGAGATCTTATGACGGTTGGGGCCCTACAAAAGCAATTAAAAGAAATAAAGCCAAGTATTATATTTTAATTGATGCAATCTTCAAGCTCCCAGTGGAATCTGGGGTGGGATCTGACTAGAGTTACGCTGGGTATCAAGAGATGGCTATTCTGTGAAAGCGCATTTATGAAGACAAAGCCCCTCGAATGCTGAGTTTCATTAACATGTGTATCCGTTCTGGGGGAGACCCGGCTCAGACTCCCAGGACTAAGCACTGAAAGAAGCCACCTAGATTTCTCTGAGATCTGAACAAAGACCTGAGATGGGTGGGGGAGTGGGGAGGAGGGAGAGAGGGAGAGAGAGAAAAGGGTAGGTGGAGGGGAAGACATAAAATGGGTTTATATTTTTATTTGCTTTCAGAGTCTCGTACCTGGATTTTAGACACCGTGAATCATCCTTGCCAAGCCGAAACAGCTTTCATCCATCACTAACATTTCAGGGTTTGTTTCCGTTTTATTGTAAATATTCCAGTCGAAGAAAGATAAACAGACAAGAAAAAACTGCTTTATACAGTATACAGAGTCAGATAGAAAATACAGAATGAGAAAGAAAACCAACAACCAACAGATAAAAAGTGGACACGAACCAAGGAAGAGAACTGGCTGGTTGCAAATCCCCTCATGGGCTTGAGCGAGGGGCCACGGTCTCAGCAGCTAATAGAAACTGTCTGGGGCTGTCAGTCTTATCTTTATTCCACACGGTGAAAGACACAGACTTTATAAATGATGCATGGGGACACTTATTTCACTAATCCATTAAAAAAAAAAAAGCTTGCTGTTGATCAAGATATCCTGCTCATAAAAACAAGTTTACTTTTTAAAACAAAAACAAAAACAAACCCAAAACAACCCTTCCCACCCCAAATGCGATCTGACAGCAGGGACCACGTTGTCAGAAGCGTGGCTGGAGCTGCGGGTTGCAGCAGTGTGGCACCACAGGGGTGTGTAGTCAGTTTCCTTCCGGTGTCCTTCCCACCAAATCCATATTTCCCCGTGAAGTTAGAGGCAAGGTTTAGAAAAATACTCAAGTGTTTTCCACAGCTTGATGGTAGAAGAGAAAAAAGGAAAAGGACTCAAATTCGTGAGAAAGAAAAGCTCAGGACCAAATGGCATCCTTTGTAAGAGTCACCAGGGAACTGCTCGGCCCCAGGACGGCAGCGCTAACCGATGGTCCTGGCACAAGGAGGAGGTCAGCCTGCCCAGCCATGGTGACCAAGCGTGTCATCTTCCAAAGGTGTCTTTATTTCAGTTCATTCGGGACAGGAACGTCCGGACCACTCGATTGCGGTGGTGGCAGCTGTGGTGGAGGTGGGATTTAAGCAACTGTTCATGTCGCTCTCCTTCTGAAGTTTCTAAGTTTACAATCAGAAATTGCATAGAATTTGTTTGCCATCAGAAAATGAAGACTCTCTGCATGAAACTCCCAATGGGGGAAGCCAAGCAAAGGCCAAGCTACCGTTAGAAAGCCTCACCTTGCCATCAGGTGTGTGCTCGGGCCCAGCTCCCTTCATACTAGTACGCCACTAACTAGCGGCCGTCGGGTACCCTGGGATGCATCAGCCACTCCTGTGCTGGGGATGGAAGAGAAGTTAAAGGCTTTACCTAAAGTCACACGGGGCGGCAGCCCGCTGCTGCCCAAGCGGAGGTTAGGACTCCAGGGGTCCTGGCTCCCAGGCCTGTTTCCAGGCTAGGAGATTCTACCTTCCTCCCAGGAACCTGGCAAATTCTTGATTACCTAAGGTCTTCCACTCAATAAACACACACACACACACACACACACACACACACACACGTGCATGCCCGTACGTGCACCCAGTTCTCACTTGAATAGCAAGAAATTGGCTAATCTGTGACAGCCTTGGGAGTCTGGCTTCCTATGCAGCCACCAAGTTCAGGTAAAAAGATGCAGTTGACTGAGTGTGCACGGCGCCACCAAGGTGGCCTGTCCCTCCTCTGTGAATGACACCAAGGTCCAGGTGGCCTGTCCCTCCTCTGTGAATGACGCCAAGGTCAAGGTGGCCTGTCCCTCCTCTGTGAATGACGCCAAGGCCAAGGTGTGGAAAATTCTATCTGTCCTGGTGCTCCTGAAACAAGGCCCCGGGATACTGTGTGTGTTCCATTCTCCCATCTGTCCTCCGAGACCACATTCACCCACAATCGAATCCAATCCAGTAATAGAAAGTCAAAAAGAGAAAGAAAAGGCAGTTTAACCCCCGAAATCCCAGGCATCTCTCGAGTAGACTATAGGGTAATTGTTTTTTGGCATTTAGAAATTGACTTCAATGGACTTTTATTTGAGACTCTCCACCGGATTCCTCCCCAGATCCTGGTCGGTGCTTCAGCCAGCCCCAGTCCCCACCCAGCATGGAGAGTTCAGCACCTGGAATCGGAGGCGTTGGCGACGCCATGTCCTAACATCCAGGGAAAGGGAGGAGTGATTATTTAGACTTCCACCCCCTACCCTGGCCTCTCCTCTAAAAGACAAAGCAAGTGGACAGAACTGAGAAGACAGGGGGGAAGGGTTGGAAGGGAGAAAGAAAAGAACACTAACAAAAATATACAAATCCAGAAAAGAAAAACTTCCCTGTTGCGTTTAATTTTTTTTTTTTCCCTGTAAGAACTAGATCCAGGGTACAAGGGCCCCTTCCTAGGGGGAATTCAACTGAGGACTCCACCAATACATTGGAGCGGTCTGAGCAGGGACCCCCACCGCAGACGCTTATTTTGGTGGGAGGGAAAGGCCCACCGGGAGATGGGTTCTCCCCCCTCCAGGGAGCGCATCCCTTTGCCACTTGGGTACAACGTCTCTGGGTGGACCCGGGTCCCCACGGTCTCTGGCTGGGGCGTCAGGCTCTTTGATCTGTTTGTAAAGTGACTGGATCCGAAATCCGGACGGAAGAGTCGACGCTGTACAAGTCCGGGCTGGCACGGACAGCGGCCCCGGCCCGGCCCCTCCCGCCTCCCCACCTGGCCTCCACGTGTCCGGGGCCGCCGGGGCTACTCGGGTTCGCTGCTGTTGGTGATCTTCTCCCACTCCAGGCTCTCCTCGCTGCGGGCGGGCGACGGCCGCGCCCGCAGGCCCTGGAAGCGGCGGCACTCGATGTGCGTGCAGCCGCGGGCCACCAGCGCCGCCTCCTGCGCCAGTCTCTGCGCCAGCTGGTCGGGCTCCCCGGCCCCGCAGAGCTTGCCGTTGCTGAGCGTCGCGGTGCTCCGGGGCCGGCGCTCCTCGGGGACTGGGGGCCGGGGCGGCGGGACCCCAGTGCGCCTCCGGCGAGGGTGCACACTGTCCTGACATAGGATGATGCTGCGCAGCTCGGACACCATCTCCTGGCAGACGGACACCTGGAGGAAACAGCGAGGTCACAGCCCGGCCCAGCGCTGCACAGCACGGGTCTGAGTGAGGAAGGCGGGGGGTGGGGGGTGGGGGGTGTCATTGGAGGGAGGAAGAGGACAGGAAGACCTTTCAATCCACCTCCCTACTCCCACCCCTATTTCGTTCAAACGCCTTCCATACCATAATATTCAACAGGCCCGCCAGCTGGCTGGCTAATCTCTGATGGAACCTTTGGAGACAATCGTCTCACCGTTTGGGGAACGGCCACCACCGTTTTCTCACGTTTGCATTCAGTGCTGCACCGAGTGAACACTTTGGAACCCTGAAATACCCAGATGTGGATCCCAGCCAAATCTGGACCTTGAAGCCCCCACCACTTGTCAGCCTCTCAACTACTGAGGCGTCTCCAAGAACATGCTGTTCTCAGGCTAAGGCTTCTCCTTGCTTTCAATGAAGTGCTTATGGCCGGAGACGATACATTCTAGCAATAACTAACACAAGAGCAGCCACCATTCCCGCAGGCCCGGCGTTTTCTACTGTGAAACCAAGGCTCCAGCTGTGTTCAGAATTTAGAGTAGTTTGGATTTGGGGAAGGTGATATAATGCACACACAGTATATCACACATCGTAGCCAGTGGGCCTGGGGCAGACTCTACATTCAAACACATGAATATTTTCTGCAGCAAAATGTACGGACGCTCACACGGAGTGAGATAAGGACCCAAAGTTTTGTCACTGAATGCGTTTGCATCTAATGTACAAGGGACTTGGACTTTGCAAGCTTTTTGGATTTCAGAATTGTGCACAACGAATCATGACCCTGTACCACTACTAGGCTGAGGATCCCTTATCTGAAATTCTTGAGACCAGAAGTCTTTCGGATTTCAGATTTCGGGGGGTTTTGGAATATACGCATATACATACTGAGGTATCTTGGGGATGGAACCCAAATTTACACATGAAATGCTTTTGCTTCACATGTACTTTATATACATAGCCTGAAGGTACAGAATATTTCTCAGAATGTTTAGTGCATGACAGTTTGTGTACATGGGACCATCAGAAAACAAAGGTGTCACTAGTGTACATGGGACCATCAGAAAACAAAGGTGTGACAGTCCCAGCCACCCTGGTGGACAGTCTGTTGTTGTGGGCCTTCCATTATTCCTATTTGGGATTTTGGTGCATTTTGGATTTCAGATGTTTGGATTAGGAACGCTCAACCTTGTAATATTACCATTATTGTTATTATAGCCATTTCGCAGATGTGAAAATGGACCCTCGTAGAAGTTATTTTTCTGGCCCCAAGTTACTGACAACCTAGGTGATCCAGCATTTGAATCTAAACCTACTGACCTCCACACTCACGCAGTCTGCTGAATTCTCTACCCTGAGCCGAAAAGGACACTCTCCTGGACCAGGATGGGAGATGAGGCCTTCTCTTCTTTCCTGTTCCCAGGTCTATCGGTGAGACAGGTGTTCTGTGTTAGCTATTTCCTCTTCATTGTGGCTACTGGGAACGCTCTGGCTCCTCACTGGATGTTTCATCTATGTCCACACTGCGGGCGCCTCTCAGGAGGATGGCCCAAAGTGAAGCAGCTAGGGAGGTGGTCGGATCACCTCATAGGGATAGCCTGTGGCAGCCTGCCTGATGACTTGAGACCTGGATCCTAGGCCCATCATTGTTACTAAATAGCAGAGACTCTTGAAGCCACTTAAATCGTTGGTGTTCTTAATAACCATGACAAAAGCAAAAACACCACCACCTGTCCAGTCTGTTACATGTGACGAGCATATAACAACGTATATTTATGAACTGCCTGCTAGGTGTCAAGCACAGTGTTCTACAGTGGAAATACAGAGATGAAAGACACAGTCCTGCTTTAAGTAGCACCAATAGAACAGCTGATGTGAAAATAATTGCAACACAGTGCTAAGGGCTCCCTGCACAGGTTACCATGACATTGGGAAGAAGAAGAAGAGTCAACTCTGCTGGCCCAGGAGAAAAAGCAGGAGGAATGGGGAAGGTCTCACAGGGAGGGAACACTAGGTCTTACGAATAAGCGCCCCTTCACCATTGAAGGAGTAGGCAAAGGGAGAGAGTGAGTAAAGTTGGAGAGAGGATGAGGGACCCAGGAGAGCATGGTGCCATGCAGGATGGGGAGGGGAATGCCCTAGCCTGGCAGACAACCCAGTGGGAGGTCAGAAAGTGGAGACTGACAGTCTCGGTGGATCTCCTTGGTTTGGAAGAGGGCAAGAATAGAGCGAGAACAATAGAAATATTGCTACTGTTTTAAGATGTGGGCTACTTGGAGCATTTTTGTTGATTTTAGAGGGAAAACACCCAAGAAAAGAACACATGGGAGAAAGAGGATTCTTCTAGAGCAGCTGAGCAGGCAGAGGGCCCAGAGATGGAGGAACACTGGTGCAGCTGCGTGGTGGCTACAGCTGTGGACAATCTTTAGGTGAAGGGTTTAATCTGGGTCTGGTTACTCTGACTTCTTGGTAAGGCGGATAGTAAAATTTAGCCCTAGGCATGCAGGAGCAGGGAGGCATGAGGATGGGGTCATGGTGTGGATGTCCTGTGTGGGAAAGCCAGCAGAGGCCAACTACAGAAGAGTGAAGGGACAGGGTGTGTGTGTGTGGGGGGAGTGTTGTGTCAAGGTCCTATATGAGACAATCCTGGAGACTTCTAGGGACACTGTCCAGTCATGTTTCTCTAGAGCCAATCAGGGAAGGAGGTTTCAGGAAGATCCAAGTTGGGAGTTGAGATGGAGTCTAGCGTACTTGTTAAAAAAAAAAAAAAAAAATAACATGGGGACAAGCAGGTGGCATAGTAGTTAAG